GGCGATCCATGGCAGCTGACGTTGGAGACACCAGGATGGGTGAGTCCGGCCGGACTGTCACAAGGGAGGACCGATATCGCAGCGGAATCAGCATCTAGGCTGCTGGGGGAATGGAGACAGACTCACTGACCAGAGTCTGCACGTAGGGTATCCCCTGGCCGGCCCCCTCCGCCTTTAGGAAATGGAGACGAGTTCCCTGGACTTCCACCCGCCCATTGGCCAGATCGATTTTCATAGGCATTCACCTCAGAAAGTCCGCCCCCAACAGGCAGGGTACTAGCAGCATTGCTGAGACAAGGATGGGTCCTGCTATCAAAAGCTGCCCAATCTGTATGGGGGCTTCAACCTGGCCCAGGAAGCCCATGCTGCCTCCATTTGCTGCAATGAACGTCGTCTTGACATGGAATAAAAGCCGGTTTTTATCTGGCAGCATCTCGTGCATGGTGCTCGAGATGATCGTGGCCGATGCCCCAGTATCAACGAAGATGCGTGCCGACACTCCCGCAATTGCACCGACCAGGACCGAGGTTCATGACGCCGTCGTTACCACCCGCCTTGCCAGCTTCCTCCATTGTGTGGCTGTGTCCGGCCTCTGACCAGGCGGCGGCTAACTATCCTGCAGTGCATAACGAGACGACGGGGAATGGATGCGAATGGGCCAAAGATGGGGTTCCCCCCTTTGGAGTGTGTCGCAGCTGGGTGAATGCGCCCTTGTTACGCGGTGTGGGCTACCCCCTGGGGTGCGGGCTGGGCTCCCCGTGTGGTGTGAAGTGCCCCCCCGCCTTTATGATGTGGGATGGGCCCCCCTTTTGGTGTGGGGCGGCCCACCCATTGTAGTGGGGGGTGGGGATTGGGGGGTGGGCCTTCCCGTGAGCCCATCGCTTCTCCCCTCTTCCTTTGTTGCAGGGGCGTGGGCCCTCTTTATGATGTGCCCCCCCCCCCCCGGTCCTGTCTCGGCTAACTATCCTGCAGTGCATAACGAGACGACGGGGATTGGATGCGAATGGGCCAAAGATGGGGTTCCCCCCTTTGGAGTGTGTCGCAGCTGGGTGAATGCGCCCTTGTTACGCGGTGTGGGCTACCCCCTGGGGTGCGGGCTGGGCTCCCCGTGTGGTGTGAAGTGCCCCCCCGCCTTTGTGATGTGGGATGGGCCCCCCTTTTGGTGTGGGGCGGCCCACCCATTGTAGTGGGGGGTGGGGATTGGGGGGTGGGCCTTCCCGTGAGCCCATCGCTTCTCCCCTCTTCCTTTGTTGCAGGGGCGTGGGCCCTCTTTATGATGTGCCCCCCCCCCCCCCCCGGTCCTGTCTCGCTCCACCGCATTGCGAGGGTGAGGCGGTGCATGAAACTGCTGTACGGCGCACCGGTGATTGCGTGTGCTGCCTCAGCCCCGGAGCCATTGCCCCTGGCGACTCGCTGGCGTTGCAGGTAAATAGTGATGTCACCCGCGGCCGCGACGTCACCCCCAGCCGCAACGTCACTTCTGGGTACGAGGCCCCTTCCGGCCGTGATGTCACCCCCGACCGCGACGTCACGTCCACCCGTGACTCGATCCCAGGCCCCGTCGCGATCCCCGGCAGGGTCCCCGGCCCCGGCGCGATCCCCGGCGCGATCCCCGGCACCGGCGCGATGCCCTTCCCCTGACCAGGACGGTGGAGCCTAGGGCCCGACACCAACGGCGCCCACCCCGAGGAGGCCCTCGGTGAAGTCGCAGCGCACCCCTATAAGCTAAAGGGGACTCTCTAGCCCCCCGTTAGTGGTCCTGGAACCGTCTAAAGGTACCCTCTCAGCTGGGCCTCGTAGGCCGCCTGTAGCGTGGTCTTGCTGTGTGTGGGAAGGGAGGTGTAAGAGGCGAGCGCCTCTTCGTCCGACCACTCGAGAGCGTAGAAGGCAGCCTCGAATCGGCGGACGAACGCCTCCCAATCACCTCCCTTGGCTATAAATTTCTCGACGTGCCCCAGCCGGCATGCCCGACCTGCCATCTGCTCCCTCCGTTGGGTGTTTATCCCTGGCGGTTTTGACAGGAGCGGCGGTGGCGGCTGGCGTGACGAGGCTGGTTGCGGCTCATGCCCGGCTGACTAGTTGGCTTCCAGGTCCCGTGGGAGAGGGGGTCCCGGTGCCGGCAGGCCCCCCATATAGAGCCGCCGCAGTAGCTCCTGGAGTGCCCTCTCCACGTGGGCCATGTGGTCCTCCATGGAGTCCTCCATGAGGTCCGGGCCCCTTGCTGCTGCTCCTGGTAGCAGGCCCCCTTGTTGCCCTGGATGTGGAGGAACCCTGGCCCCTGCTTCCTCTTCTGTTGGCTCTCTTCCGCGGAGTTTCTTCCTTGTAGTCATTGTCGATCACACCACTGCCACCAGATGTAAAGGAGAGCCGACACAAGATTGCAGGGGGTTCGTCTTTTATTCCTTTTTGAGTCCACACCTGTCCCCAGTCGTCTCAATCTCGTTCCCGCCAAGATCTCCCTTCTTCCTGCCCATTCTCTCTCTTATCTCTCCTCGCTTGCTCCTCCCCCTTCCCCTGTCACCATCCCACTCCCCTTCCTTTTGGTAGGAATCCTTTCCCTGACATCCCTTACATATATATATAAAAAGAATTTGTGAATATGTGTGTCTGTTCGAAATGTTTAGCATATTTCCCGACATGCAACAAACTTAAAATTTGGCATGTGGGTAGCTTCCAGACTGTACACAATGCAAAACATATAAAAATAGACTTTTGCATTTTGAGGGGGGAGTGTGGGAAATGACAACCCGCATAGAGGACTGGCGAGAATCTATATCTGGTGAGCGTTTGTGGTATCGATAAAACGGGAATAGGCCGATTTTAAATAAATCTACAACCTGGATCTTGTGTTTGTTCAAGATTTTGAAAGTAGTTTTTGTTATCCCTGCTATGTAAGGTAAGGTGATGGTTTTGATTGGATCTTCAGATGGCTCCTTCCCCACGGTTGGGGTGATGGCTTTGCGGATTGTGTAGTCAGAATATCCATTCGCATTGAGAGCTTGGTGTACGTGTTTGAGTTCACTGGTCAGGTGTTCATGGTCGGAGATACATTGAGCTCTATGGTGTAGCGTTTTGATGAGAGAATTCTTCTGGGATGGATGGTTGTGGTAATCAGGTTTTTGGTAGGCATCAGTATGGGTTACGTTCCTGTAGACAGAGTGGCTCATTGAGCCATCTGGTCTCTTTTTGATTAAGACATCCAAGAAGGGTAGCATGCCATCCTTTTCTACCTCCATTGTGAATTTGATTGCTGGATGTATGTAATTGATGTGGTTGAGGAATTGTTCCAGAACCGGTCGGCCATGTGACCAGATGACAAACGTGTCATCCACGTATCTCTTCCACAAGGACGGGCGTAGAGTGGATGCCTGGATGGCGTCCGTCTAAAATTTTCCCATTAAAATATTGGTTCAATTTAACACAGTGCATACAATTTGTGACCTGATCCCATCTGTGAAGGACAAGATTCCTGGCATGCAATATCCTGACGTCTACAAACTAAGCTGTATCTGCAGCAGCAGTTACATTGGGGAAACCAAACGACATGTCTCGGACCGTGGTCGTGCACATAAGGCAGATCTGAAATACGGCAGGACCAATACTTCTGCCGTGGCTGATCATTACTTTAATGCGGCTCGCTCACCTGAAATTAATTTTTCTAAGACGATGGTACTTTGCAAGCCGACTGGCTATCAACAAAGATTCGTTCACGAAGCCATCCATATATACAGACACAGACACAATTTCAACCGAGACGACGGTTTTAAACTCAGCAATCATTGGAAAGATGTCATCAACCACTTGGGGTCATGACTTGATTTTTGTTTTCCTGTCAACCTCCACCATCAGCAGTGTGGGTGTGTGGAGCGAGGTGCAATGCTTTGATTGGTGTAGATCTACTGCTGGTATCGGGGCCTTCTCCTACATTAACATTAGCTGCCCCGCCCATCTCTAAACATTTATAAACAGTTTGCGTCAGAGGCTAACCTCCCTATTCCTGATGACGACTGCTTGTGTTGCGATCGAAACGTCGTGATATTTTTTTATTGTTATTTTTGTATTGTTATTTTTTTATCTACGTGACTTTACTGAAATAACCATGTAATATGAATTCCTGCAGTCACGAAAGTTTTATGTCAAAATTAAGGCGGTTTGACATTATCCACCTGTTTGTCGCCAATGCACAATATCAGACGTGGAACTTGAAAGACACACAAATTGCCTTTTGAGTGAATGTAGAGCTGTATATCATCAGCATATGAATGCACGCCGATATTATGATAATGTGCAATGCAGATGACATCAATGGTGGAGAGTAGGAAGCGCACCGCACCAAGCACACTACCTTGTGGCACATCACATGTCACTGGTGACCTTTCTGACTTGCTACCAGCAAAGCTGACTGTCTGACCTGTAATGAAGTACCCCATGAGTTGATTTCCGAGATACGAACAAATCGACTTACAAACGGGTCTCAAGAAAGTAACCCGTTCATATCTCGAGGACTGCCCATACTGTATTTTATTTTTACTTGGACAGGTCATGCCACCAGAAAGAATGATAGCTGCTGTTCGAGAATAACAACAGAGTGGCAGACATGTGAGGGAATGCACCTAAGAGAGTAACTAACCTGGAAATTGAGCAATTAAATCAGCACGTGTCCAAATGCTCAGTGGAGTTTCCCATAACAGAATCATTGAAATATGACGATGACCTGGGGAGGCTTTCATTCAGCAGTGGATTGATGACGAAAACGTTGATGCAGTTTCAAACTGAACAGTTCCCTTGGGCAGAATATAAACACAATTATTGAGGCGATAATCTACATCTGTATCTAAATCCAAAATGTCACGAAAACAATAAATACTGTTTCAGTTCAACTTTTCATTGTCCACAAGTGGTAAAGAATCCTATTTGCTAGGGTACGTGATGCGTCACAGCCCACATTCCTGACCACCCACATATAAACGTGAGCGTCCTCAGGGTATTCACTCATCCTCCGCGGCTATTCTTTCACGTCTAAAAAGGTAATAATTTGCTCCCTTACAGAAAGCTCATATTATATTTATTTAATGCATCCAATGCTTGTGTTTCCTATTACGTGTCATTAAACGTCTAAGTTAAGGTATCAGGACACTGGATTAATGCTAAACTACACTACGGATCTTTAATTATATTTCAATAAGTCCACAGCTGTGCCAAGGGTCTGCAAACACAGCGGCGAAGCAAACATCCCTTGGACTGGACGCACTCTGACTTCCGTTCAACTGCTAAGGTGGGGATTATCATAAGTGATGGTATTGAATCTAGGAATGCTCAACTGCAGTAAAAGTGTAGTGATTCTACATACCTCCATGAATTAAGAAAATGCTCCAGTGTAACTTTTGACAGCTCAAAAGTGGAGTCTCAATTATTATGAACGTATTAATTTTTTAAATGTATTTGAATGTTTTATGCGAACACTAGCGACCCACATGTCTTTTGGACGTGACCGTCTGTACGTTCCACACAGCCAGCCAGCAAAAGTGTTTTTTATCTCAAAATAAACCCCGGTCTCACTAACTTCCTCTTGCATTGTCTCTCCTGTATATCCGAATTTATAGCCATTTCTCACGTTGTCTCTGTTTCTCTATATCCTTGTCCCCTCTTCTACCGCTCCCTCTATATTCCCAACCTCCCTCTCCTGTATCTAAACCACTTCACTCCCCCATATCTCTATTTCTCTTTCATCACTTAACCTTGCTCTCCTTATACCCACCTCTCCCTTTCTGTCTTCATCTCTCACTCCATACTGCTGTCTCCCAGGGCTTCATACTTTTCCTTGCGCTGCTCGTTCCGTTTTGCTCTTTCTCTTTCTTCTCAAACTCTTCCTCACTCATCTATCTGCCATCCTTGCCTCTCTCTTCGGTCTCCCTGCTCTATATCCCTCTCCCCGATGTCTCACTCCCGCACCTCCCTCTATCTCCATCCTCTATTTTTGTCATCTATTTCCCTCATCTTCCTCTGTCCCCTTCCTCTAATTCCCTCCCTCACGTCCCTTTTATATCTCCCTCGCTCACCTCCTTCCTCTTTCTCCTTGCCTGAACGTCCTCTTCTATCGCTCTCCTTTATATCCCTCCCTCACCTTCCTCCAGTATGTCTCTCCCCTATATCCCTACCTGACATCAGTCGTCTATTACCCTCTCTAACCTCCCTCCGCTATCTCCAGCCCTAACCTGCCTTCTATATCTCACTCCTGTATCTCCCTCTTCTAATTCTCTACCTCACATCCCTCCTGTATCGCTCTCCTCTATCTTCGTCCCTCACCTTCCTCTATTTCTTCCTTCTATCTCCATCACTCACCTCCCTCCTAAATGTCCCTACCTCATCTCCCTCTCTCATTCCTCTTTTTCACTTCTTTATCTCCCTCATCCATCTCCGTTCATCACCTCCATCCTTGATCTATTTCCGCTATCTCTCAACTCCCTCGTATTGCCCTCCTATATCTCCCTCAAAATCCTCCCTCTACCTACCTTAACTCCCTCCCTCACCTCCCTGTTTTGCCTTTGCGCGGAATCCACTGCCGGGATGGAGAGCGGGTGGGTGAGGCATGACGTGAGCACGACGCACGAACCCGTCCCAACGCTACTGTATGCGTGTGACGTCATTACGCAGATGTGCGCGGTGACGTCCCCAACGTGTCTGCTCTCAGGCAGGCAGAGAGAAACACAGCCAGGAATCCACCCAGAACACTTTTTTTCAAATGTAGTTTTAAGCAATACATGTTGTTATTTTTGCGACATTAATTCCCTAACATGGGTTCTGATTGATTAATGTAGCGTGACAACCCATCGGATAAAGAGCAAGTCAGTAACCTTCAATCACAGTGAGACTTGGACGTGACATCATGGCGCATTATGACGAGGTATGATATCACTTTGGTGCACAGCTTAATCTTGTAGTTGACGTTATAAAAAAACCAAAACTAAACTATTGTCACACCTGAACACGCAACGAAACATCATGCACAAAACATTCTCCATGGCATTGTCACAAACGGAAAAGTGGTTGGTATTACAATACTGTGTGTGTGGTCAGAGCAAATCCTTGGAAAAGGGCTTCCCTTTCCTTTTCACCCTTGTTTGGTTTTCCCAAGTTTACAAAGGGTAGCTTTAAAAATCATATAGGCCAGAGGCGGAATCAACTAAGAGTTGGGGACTGCAGTATACACAATGGGGCCTGATAAGGTTGTTTTGCGTTTTATAATAAAGTTTTGAAATATGAATATGGTAGTTACCTATTCGGTCCATATTGAGAAACAAACTCTTTAATAATCAAAACTGTATTATGACAAACTTAACACATGCATAAACACATTAATCGTGGTGCATTGTGCAGTCGCCATTCCTTATTCAATCTATTTTTAAGGCTATGAAGAAAGTCCATTCCCAGAAACATCACCTATTATATAGTTTTCCTTTAACGCAGTGTTATTTACGAATGTGTTCTGTTATTTTTGTAGCTACACATAGTTTAACACGTAGGCTTTCGCGACCAATATCAATAGAGGGGTTTTTTGGGTTAGATCCCGTAAATATATAAATGTGTCGTTAAACCCCGCCACCACCCGACACAACCAACTAGTAAGGTTTTTTTTATTTTATTTAAAGCTTTCGTGACTGCAGGGATTCAATTTCTCCTATCAAAGAAGAAGCCAGAACCACACATCACAAAGCTGGATGTTAACAAGATCGTTATTAATCAGAGTAACATCCCGATTTCAGACAATCTGAAAACAGTACTGGCTAGAGAGCTAAATTTCGCTGTCACCCCTAAACATATACCAGTAGAGGATGTGATCTCTCAGGTCGATGTAGCCCTCAAAGGCATAGGACACATCCAAGCGGACGTTGCGAAAGCTAAAATAGCCACTATTCTCAAGAATGCTAAGAAACCCATTAGCAACATTAGCAAAAACGAACGCTCTGAACTCGCGAATTTGAAAAAGAGGGATGATATAGTCATCCTCTTGGCCGACAAGGGCAATGCTACTGTTATCATGGATGAAAGCTCATACAACAACAAAATCTAGGACCTACTCAATGATGGTAGTTACTCCAAAATTAAAAGTGATCCTACTAACAGCCTAACGACAAAAACCAACAAGATCATCACCATCATTAGGCCTCCTTTGCCAGTACCAAAATATAATAATGGGGTTTTCCCCTTTTTTCTGGCAACAAAACTGAAACCTTTGTACAAGGATTCATGGTAGCATTAACCACAATACCTGCAGTCAAAATGCAAACAAAAAACATACTATGATAATATATGCATTGTTCTTGAAACTGATTGGTCCACACCAAGGGACGGCTTTCTTTTTGAGCCTCGACCCAATTGGTGCTCGACCAGATGACGCCATAAGGCGTACAGCTCAAAGACAATGCACTTTCAAAGTAATGAGGGCTCGGGGTGAGCATCTACATCATTAGACCTCCTTTGCCAGTACCAAAATATAATAATATGGTTTTCCCCTTTTTTTCTGGCAACAAAACTGAAACCTTTTCACGAGGATTCATGTCTGCATTAACCACAATACCTTTTTTGCAAACAAAAAAATACTATGATAATATATGCATGATCATAGTATGCATATATTAAAAACATACTATGGTAATATATGCATTATCATAGTATGCATATATGCATATATTTTCGTAGTATGTTTTTTGTTTGCATTTTGACTGCAGGTATTGTGGTTAATGCAGACATGAATCCTTGTAAAAAGGTTTCAGTTTTGTTGCCAGAAAAAAGGGGAAAACCCTATTATTAAAATCATCACCAATTCGACTTCCCTAATCGAACCAACCAAACGTCCCTCCCTAAAACCCTCGGCTGCAAGACCTTCCAGATTCTATGGCCTTCCCAAGATCCATAAAGAAGGTACCCCACTACGGTCCATCGTGTCCACGATCAACTCTCCTACCTACAAGCTAACCCGTTTTTTATTGGATACTCTGCTTCCCTTCACTGGCAAGACCACCTCAGCAGCACTTAACTCGACCCAATTGGTTTCAATGGTCAAAGACATTGTACTCTCTCCTGACAATAGCCTCGTCAGCACTGATGTGGTCTCTCTGTTTATCCTCTCCTGACAATAGCCTCGTCAGCACTGATGTGGTCTCTCTGTTTATCAAGGTCCTAGTGCCTGACACCATAACAATAATTGAAGACTTGGTCCAAATGGACTGAACCCTGATGTACCTGCACTGGTTAGGCACTGCCTTACCAACACTTACTTTATCTGGAATGGTACCTTCTACAAACAAAATGAGGGTATCCCTATGGGTTCCCCCATCTCACCAGTGATAGCCAATGTTTTAATGGAGAAGTTTGAATCAGACGCCATCCAGACATCCACCCTTCGTCCTTCCCTGTGGAAGAGATATGTGGATGACACTTTCGTCATTTGGCCACATGGCCTCCCAGCATTAAACCATTTCCTAGACCACATCAATTCCAGACATCCATCCATCAAATTCACCATGGAAGTGGAGAAAGATGGCAAGCTGCCATTTTTGGATGTTCTCTTTGAGAGGAGGCCTGATGGCTCTTTGAGACATTCTGTTTACAGGAAGGCCACCCACACAGATTCCTACTTGAAGCCTGATTCCCACCACCACCCGGCTCAAAAGAATTCCCTCATCAAAACACTATACCATAGGGCTCATTGCATCTCTGACCAACACCACCTGGCCAGTGAATTAAAACATGTACATCTGGCCGTCAAGATGAATGGATACTCTGACCATACTATCCACCAAGCTGTTTCTCCCACCATACAGAAACAACCACCTGAAATTTAGATTTAAAGCTTTCGTGACTGCAGGGATTCATATTCTTAGTTCTTTCGGTAAAGTCACGTAGAAGGGAAACAATAAAATAATAAAATATAAAACAATAAAATTATCACGACGCTTCGGCTGCAACACAAGCAATCATCATCAGGTGTGAAAATTATAGCAAGAAATTTTGAAAAAAGTGGCGTTTTTTTATCGTTAGCACCACGGAGCGCGATTTGACAGTTAGTTCAGATGGACGAGTCCATCTATGTTCGGAAAAGAGGAGGGGGAGACGAAAATAATGGATGCGGTCTGAAAGCCACCCTAAACATAAACAATCAATTAAGACCCAAAATGGTTTATCAAATCCTTCCAATGATTGCGAAGCCAGAATCCATCTTCTCGGTCGAAATTGTCTGTGTTTGTATATGTTAATAGCCTCATGAACGAATCTCTCATGGTAGCCAGATGGCTTGCAAAGAACCTCTGTCTTGGAGAAGTCAATGTCATGTGAGCCTACTGAATTATAACAGTGATTTGCCACGGCCGAGGTGTTGGTCCTACCGTGTTTTAGGTCTGCTTTGTGTTCACGAATGTGGTCCGAGACATGTCGTTTGGTTTCTGCAATGTAACTACTACCACAGAGGCAACTTAGTTTGTAGACGCCAGGGTACTGTATGTCCGAAATCACATCTTTTCCAGACGGAACCAGATCACGGATTTCATGTGATGTGTTGAATCGGACCTGGATCTTGTGTTTATTCAAGATTTTGGAGATCTTTTTTGTGATCCCCACAATGTAGAGTAAAGTGATGGTTTTGAAAGGCACCTCAAGAGGGTCCTTCTTCATGGTTGGAGTGATAGCTTTGCGCATTGTGTAGTCGGAGTAACCATTAGACTTAAGAGCTTGGTGTACGTGCTTGAGTTCACTGGCTATGTGTTCCTAGTCGGATATGCATTGGGCTCTATGGTGCAGAGTCTTGATGAGGGAATTCTTCTGGGATGGATGGTGGTGGGAATCCGGTTTCAGGTAAGCATCCGTATGGATAGTTTTCCTGTAGACAGAGTAGCTCATTGAATCATCAGGTCTCTTTTTTATTAGGACATCCAAAAAAGGTAGCTTGCCATCTTTTTCGACCTCCATGGTAAATCTGATGGCTGGGTGTATGGAATTGATGTGGTCGAGGAATTGTTCTAGAGCAGGCCGGCCATGTGGCCAGATGACAAAAGTGTCATCCACGTACCTCTTCCATAAGGTTGGGCGCAGAGTGGCAGTCTGGATGGCGTCAGTCTCAAATTTCTCCATGAAAATGTTGGCTACAACCGGAGATAGGGGGGAGCCCATTGGGGTGCCCTCAGTTTGTTTGTAGAAACTTCCATTCCAAGTGAAGTATGTATTGGTTAAGCAGTATCTCACCAGGGGGGGTACCTCAGTGTTTAGTACTTGATGAACCAAGTCTTCAATTATTGCGATGGTGTCAGGTACAGGAACTTTGGTGAATAAGGAAACTACATCAAAACTGACAAGCAGGTCGTCTGGGGACAGGGAAATACCCGTGATTGTCGATACCAGGTGAGTAGAATTTTGTACCGCAGAGGTGGTTTTTCCAGTGAAAGGCCGTAGGATTTCAGACAGAAACGAGCCAGTTTGTAGGTGGGGGAGTTGATAGTAGAGATGATGGGACGAAGGGGTGTATCTTCTTTGTGTATCTTTGGGAGGCCATATAATCTTGGTGGTCTGGCAGCAGAAGGTTTCAACGAGAACTGTTTGGTTTGATCAATTAATGCGGTTGAATCAGAAATGATTTTGTTAGTTTGTATGACCAGGCTGTTGGTGGGATCTCTTTATTTTTGTATAGCAGCCATCGTTGAGTAATTCTTGAATTTTGTTGTTATATTCAGTTTTATCCATGATGACAGTGACATTGCCCTTGTCGGCTGAGAGGATGACAATGTCATCCCTCTTCTTTAATTTATATAATTCAAAACGCTCATCTTTGCTGAGGTTGCTAGCTGGCATCTTAGCGTTTTTGAGGGTTGCAGCAATTTCAGATCTTGCTACGTCTGCAGCGATGTGACCCAT